AGCAACACACTGCCTTTCTGTGTTTGCAATATTTAAAAATTCCACATGGTTCTACAACATAAAAAGTTGAAAAATGGAATTTTTAAGGTTTTGGGGGGGTATCACTTTTAAAGGGGGAGGTAGGTAAAAATTTTGTTCTACGGAAATAAGTTTCTAGTAAAGATCTATATACATATTAAATTTCAGATTTCTATCTTCATGGGTGTAGAAGTTTTGTAAACTTATCCACGGACGGACAGACGGACAGAAAAAATTTTTTGGAAAAGTTCTAAAAATGGGAGTTTGTATTCGATATTATCCAGATAACAATCTCATGTATCCTTCTTTTAGCATGCAACTATAGGTTCTATAAAACTGTCCGCAAATAATGCAAACTTTTGCACCGCGTCTAGTGATTGAAAATTTGTGGAATATATTAACAACAGCATGTCGGAAATATTAAGACTTCGAACAAAATAAATCTTAAAACTGTTATACAGAAAGAATGGCATGAAAGAGCTTAATTTTACACCAATAAACTAGTTAAGTCTCAATCAAAGTGATTCAAAAGTGTTCTAGAGAAAAAGAAAAAAAGGAGGGCTTACAAATGTATTAAGTATTGTTGTTGTAAAAAACTTTCTTTTCATTTCTTTGGAAATTGAAAGCATTTTGCGAATCAATTACAGAAAATAATAATTTTCAAGACAATTTAGTTAATTTTTTATCTAAAGAAAAAATTTTTTTCTTGCATCATTTTAACCGTGAATCACGCATGAAAAATATCATTTAACAATATTTCATACAAAATTAATTTTTGACACATTTAAAAAAACTAATTTTACTTGTTCTTCCGCGCGACCGATCGCATCTCACTTGTGTATTAAATTAATTTTGTATAAATAAACTTTAGTAAATGCATAGTTTCCCTATTATAATTTTTTTCGTACCCACTCCTCCTTCCAGCAGATTACAGCTGTAGAAGGCGTGGAAAATAAATTTCTGTGTTTCATCAACCATAAACAATTTAAGATTCCTGCAGTAGTTTATATTCATAGTAGGTATAATAATTTTAACACGTCGAAATATAACCTTGAATGTAGTTTAATAGGATTAATATAATTAAATTAACATTGATAAATTTTAATTTACATTTTCATGTGTCTATCGTTTTCATTTTCATATTCGTAATGTAGATACTTTTGTTTATGAATTTTCTAGATTTATAATATAAGACTTAAGAATTTAATAACTTTTGGAGATTTCAATGTTGATATTCTAACAAATAATGAGACTGTTGATAACTACCTCCTATTGTTTTCATTTTGTGAACTTTTTTCTCCTATTTTTGAAGTTACACGTCCTTCTTCGCAAACTTGTATGGATTATCTTTTTAACAGGTTTCACAGAAATGTTAAATATGATTCCGTGGTTGAAGTTCTTGATCTTGGTGTCATAGTATGATAAGCTTCTCTTTTTCTATCAAGACGAATAAGCTACAAAATACTAGTACTGGTACGACGTCTACTATGATGGATGTTAATAAATTGAAAAATGGGATGAAGCTTACGTGGCTTCTAGTTCTTGTTTGGCTTTTTCTAGCTTTTATTTGACTATGAAAAGTCATATAATTGATTGCAATGAGTAGAATCAGTAAACGTAATAAGAAATGGAGACAATGAATTTCCAATTCCTTAGTTAAGTTAATAAATAAGCGAAATAAACCTAGAGTAAGAATTAAAAAATGGAATAACACAAGTTCTAAAAAATATTATCATAAATTGTGTTCAAGAAGTTAAGAAAATACTTCATGTAAATAAAGATGATAGTACTAAGTCTGAATGGAGGATTTTTAATGAAGTTTTAAATAATAACATACTCGTATCTAGGCTTCAAATTTCTTTGTCAAATGGAGTAATATTTTCCTAGTATCTCTTTCAATCTATTTCCTAATTTGGATTCTTCTAATGGTTCTACATGTTTTAGAAGTGATTTAATTAATGATATTTCTTATTCTGATAGCTTTTTTTATTTATGAAAAAATTTCTTCTTTTGAAGTTAATAAATTAATTTTAAGTTTAAATAATTCTAATTCGAAACCTGATGGATTAATTTCCAATTGTACTTATATACTTAGTTACATTTTTAATTTTAGCTTACTGGAAGGTGTTTTTCTTCACATATTAAAAATTGCTACTGTAATTTCACTATTTAAGAGAAGATCTGTTCTTATCCCAGTAATTGGATTAAATTCGAAAATTTTCGAAAAAATTTTCGAAAAAACCATTAGGTTTAAAGTTTTAATTCATCTCTTCAATATAGGTTTCTTTAGTTCCAGTAGGAGCGAAGTAGGGTTAAAAAAAAAAGAAACAAGAAAAAATAGAGTTGACCTTGTCAACTCTGTGATACCCGCACGAATTTGCTATCCTATGTGCGAATAAATATGCCATAACTTACTATGGGACAGACTATGACTTGCCGTATTACTATATTAATTTGTTCAAAATTTCAGTACTGTGTTATTCAAAATACTGTGTGTGCCAAACTACTATTGAAGTTGTATGGCAGCTACCAGAAAGAGCCAAGAAATTTTAACGAATTTTATCAAGCACATCGGCCCTACTAATATATTCGCTTGTGTGAAATTTCAATACCATAGCTTTCATAGTTTCTGAGATATAGCCACATAACTTTTGCAGTTGTATGGCAGATACCAGAAGGAGCCAAGCCATTTCAATGACTTTTATCAAGCACATCGGCCCTACTAATATAACACTTGTGTAAAATTTAAAAACCGCAGCTTTTACAGTTTCTGAGATATAACCAAATAAATTTTGAAGTTGTATGGCAGCTACCCGAACCGGTACCCCGATCATGTCCAATTTAAATAGGGTTCTGACACTTCCTACAATAAATCATTTGTGAAAATTTGGTGAAGTTAGCTCAATTAGTTTTTGAGTTACCGCTGTGACAGACAAAGCTAAATCAACTCAGAATTCGACGTTGATCAAAAACATACACTTGAGTCTATATCTAAGATCGTTATTTCTTAACGTTACAAACGGTAAGGCAAATTTAGTATACCTTTCGAACATACGTTCGTACTGGTATAAAAATATCTCTATTTTGTAGAAATTACATTCAAAACTTATATGTACTTTTGTATAAATGAGTGTTCGTAGTATTTTCTATTTGTACGTATTGTAGTTTTAATTTTTCACTTATAATGTTATGTAGTATTATGATATGACAATAAATTGCATGAAATGAAGATGATATGATTTCATAATACAAGTGCTAAAGTTGTCTTAGCCTAAATAACCTGGCTAAAACCATATAATTGACGATTTTTTTGCTTGGAAAAAAAACAAGAAAATCAAAGCTTTATAACGTACATTTACATTAAAGTAATCCGTAATTTGCGTTACGAATTACTTTAAGTATCCAATTTGTTTTATAATTTTTAATAAATTAAAAATTGCAAAATAAGTTTAAAAAACCCATAATATACATAAACTCCTAAAACTCAGTTATATTAATGTAATTAGCAAAAATAAAAAGAAACTATTTATACACAATATTATCAAATGTAGCTTTCATTAAACAACCTTTCGTTTAAAAATATCTTCATATTTAAATGAATAAAAAAAGCCAAAAAAAATATATTATAAAATTATGCCTCACTCTAAATAATTATTTTGTTAACTTTTAACAAATTATTTTCACCTGATATTCAATTAAATTTTTCACTTTTTTTTCTTTTCAATTCAATTCAGGAAATCCTAAAACATGCTCATCAAACAAAAATATTTTTTTAAATACTTTATTCATTAAAAACATAAAAACAAAACAAGATTGAGATAACAAGCAATCAAAATTTTTTAAACATAAATTAATTTTTTTTTTCTTTGTTGGTAGTCTTATTGAAGTCTGAAGTATTTTTTTTCCATAGATTAAGTTACTAAAGCCAGACAAGACTAGTTTTCACAATTCTAGAATAATTCATCTACAGGATCCTTAAAAATATATTTTTTCCACTTGAGGAACTTTTAAACAAGAAGCAGAAAAGTTTTTATTATTACCACATCTTTTCTATGCTATTTTGTTCTTCTACCTTTTTCCTATAAAAATGGGAAACAACACAAACAACATATAAAAGTGCTATGTAAGTATCAATCGTCATCCTTGTTGCATGTTGCATAACTGTAAACTACATAATTCATTTTCTTTGAATAAACTCCATCATAGTATACTATACTTGGAAATCTCATTAGGATCCTTGTAGGGTGTGATTGAAAAGAATAACAACAAAATAAAATTTGAAAATAAAAATGCAAATGTTTTTGTCATGTATACACATGCAAAAAAAAACTTTATGATTTTCGAACATGCTGACGTGCCAAATTGAAGAGGCATTACGTCAAGAAATTCAATTGAGATACTTGAAGAAAAATGAGAAAAAATAACGAATAAATGAAAAATTTAATTGACTACAGTCAATCTTCAAAAAAAAAATTGTGCCAGTTGAGAAATTGGGATTTTAAAGTACGGAAACCTTTTCAACTAGGCTAGAAAATATTTACATTTTAATTTAAAAGCAATATTTTTTTATGAAGGAAAACCTATACATTAATTATGGTTTTGAGTAATTAATATTTTATAGTCATAAAATGATTAATAATTGAATAGTGTTGATAAAATGATGAAAATAAAAAAAAATAAGAAACTTAAATATATTGAAACCGCGACATCCAAACTGCAGATAAAATTGCAAATAAGACGTAAATAAACCATATGAAAACAATTTTGCTAAGTCAAAATTTTTACTTTGCAAATCGAAAATATTGCTTATAAATTGTGATTCGGGTGAAAAAATTATTTTTCGCTGCGAGTGCTTTCTTTAGTTCGAAATTCGGATCACCGATAGGTTTGCGCTTTATTTGCAATTTGAAGAATATTTTTTTAATTTTTGATCATATAAAAGATAATTCTTGTTGAAATTTCTTTTTTTCTGTGATTTTCAGCCCCAAGTAATATTCTCATATTGATATTAAGTCAACAAAATGATTACAATATTCAACTAGCTTATAATTTACGTTTTGATCTTCTTAATCAATCTTTATTGTTTTCAAGAGAAAATTTAATCAATGTTTACCTTACTCATGAAGTTTTCAGTCATATCGGAGATTGGACCATCTTATATTTACTACCCAGTTTAATGAAAACAAATATAATTAATGAAAATATTAAATGGATTCTTTTCTGTGAAGATCAAAGTAAAATTAATTTAAAAAATCTAATTAAAGGTTTAAGTACAGTAGATTATACAAAGGTAATTAATTAAACAAAAATAAAACTTTGAATTATTTATTAAACTTAAAAAAAATCTTTAATTTTAATACAAAGTGAATTCAATTGCAGGAAATCTATTTAGGGCATGCTTTACATGATCAGGAAGCAACTATTATTCATCATTTCGCATTTTACGAAAATCCTAAATGGTTTCCCTATCCATTGTTGAGAGCTGGAGTAGCATTTTCAAAACCTTTATTAAACACGTAAGTATTTATGTAAAAGTACATTAATCCTTTCGATCCGGCTGGTATACAAATGTACCAGTAAAGTCGAAACATCCCTAAAAGTTAAATATGACATTGTATTTGGTTCTCTGCTGTACCATTTCATTTTATCATGATTCGACACGCTAAATTTTAACGCGAATTTCATGATCACAGACAGTTTATTTTATATAAAGCTATAACAGATTCCCCATGTGAATCATATGTTAATTACAGTATTCAAAAGGTATTAGAAGGAAATGCGCTTTTTTGGATTAAGGTAGGGACATATTCTTGATATAATTTTAACACTATTTCAGAAATAGTGTTTCATATTCAGAAATCCGTGTTTCCAATAAGTCTCTAAAAAATCGATTGAGCTTTAACGCAGTTATTCGTTACAGACTCTAAACCTTTCATTGCCTGTCATCCCTCTCGAAAAATACATAGAATTAATTTCTTTATTTTCCTTGTGTATTCCTATATTTCAGTAGCTTTTTCAATGAATATCAACTGTATAATATTTTTGAGAAAAAAATGAAATTATAGCACAACACTAGCAACAATGCAATTTATGTAAGACGGGTTTATTTATAGTTTATCAACATTTTAAATCGCTATTTAGTAAACTTACTCTTTAGTGAGATATCTCATTGGTTCATATGTATATAAAAAAGAAACATATCATATTATACAGCACTTTTTTTCTTAAATAAAAACTATCAAAGTTATGCTTAGAAATTAAATATGTCGAAAATAAAACTCGATTTATATGAGTGAATATATAATAAATGCTTGTCCACATTCATACAATCATATACGAGTACGACCCTAACCATTAATAATTCATATACTTGAATTTTTCAAATTATTTTTGTTCTTAATTCAATGTACCAGAAGTATAGTAAACTATTTTAATACCTAATTATATTTTTAAAAAACTATATTTTTAATCTTTAATTTTATATATGTATATAACTTTATGTAAATTAAAAAATTTAACAGTATTCTATTAATATAAAAAAATTCCATACTAAAAATTAAATATTTCTTCGACCATTATTAATTCACACAGTTGCAAAAGTTGTTTCAATAAGTTAGTGCCAAATATGACGCGTGGAAGGCCTGTTGTGAAAGAAGTTATGGAATATGGAAGTTATGCAAAATGGAAGAAGTTATGGTGAAATATTAAAAGAAATTAATTTAACTAGATCTACTGTATAGTGAGTATAATTAAAAATTTTAAAGCAAATGGTTCTACAGAGAATTTTGTAATAAAAAATAAAGGCGATGTTACGCAATTTTAATGAAGCTGGAATGAATTAAAAATGGTCGAAGAAATATTTAATTTTTAGTATGTGGTTTTTTTATATTAATAGAATATTGTTAATTTTTTTAATTTACATAAAGTTATATACATATATAAAATTAAAGATTAAAAATGTAGTTTTTAAAAAAATATAATTAGGTATTAAAATAGTTTACTATATTTCTGGAACATTGAATTAAAAACAAAAGTAATTTGAAAAATTCTGGTGTATGAATTATTAATGATTAGAGCTCGTACATTTTAATACAATTATGAAAAATTATTATTCTTCTTTTTCTTTGCAGTCTTGGAAATCTCATAACTGAAAAAACAAGACTACCTCGAACCGAATTTTTTATCGATGCATCCCACGAATTATCCTTTTTTATTTGGCAAAATATCAAAATTGAAAATAATAAATGGAAAATTTCATCCTTAACCATAAAAGAAAACAAACTTAAAAATTCTATAAAAACAGTAAATGAAGATTCCATAACTGATGATAATCATTATAGTACTTCCGATAAAATAAAAATAAATACGGAATCAAATTTGAAATACAATAGTATTCCTATGAATACAAATAGTAAAACACAGCACATAGTTATTGATAAAGACAGTAAAAATAGATATTTAGATAATAAAAAAAAAACTATATTTGCCGAATATAATGAACATCCAAATGTGCAAAACAAACGGAATGATGTCAAAGATACTGTAGCACAATATGATAAAATGAATGGCATTGGTACGAATAGTAAGAATTGGAATAATAACAGAGTCAACGATAGCACTAATAGTAACAGTAGTAATCATAATAAAAATAAAGAAAATGTAAAAACAAAGGAAGTAGACAACGTAAAGAAGAAACTTCTCCTCGTCAACGCATCATCATATTTTTGTACAAAAGAAGATAGTAATTGTGCTGTTTATCCAAATATAATTCAAGGAAATAGTTCTCTTTGTGTACGTGTTATGTAACAATATACAATAAAATATGTATAACACTTTCACACATGAATATTTATATACAGATGTAACTTTGCATTAAGAACGTCTGTTATGACAATATAAAAAACAACAAAAGTAATAAATTTTGCGCTACAAAAATATGATTTTGGAGAAACTATATAAGATGCTAATTTTTTTACTAACACAATTCTAAAAACAATTCTACTAAACACAATTCTAAAATTTTTTACTAACCATATTTTCAAAATCCGAAGTTTATTGATTTAGAAGTGAAATTAGAAATTCTTTTAAATGCCGTTATAATGCTTTATTGGGAAAATCCGATTTTTTTTTAAATTTTTTTAAATGGTTTAAAAACATTTTTATGGAATTCGAAAATTGAGCTAAATATTTGTTATTTTGCATCTAAATTCAGCTATAAAAATCAAAAGCAATATATTCAATTAAATATCGTTAAGAAACTTAGTAAATCGTTCCAAAAATCAATGCAAATTTCGAAAAACTCAATCAATTTCTTCCTAAAGCACATACAATGAAGCATCATATTTTGTATTATTATGTGCTTCGTCTGAAGCACATTGAAGCAATGCGATGTTGCGTAAGATATTTGTACAAATTACAAATTATTAAGTATAAAACTGGGGAATAGAACATTAATTGAAAATAAAATAATATAAGTATTAAAAATCATAAAATAAGTAGCTCATTTTTATTCCGCTAATTGGGCTTCACTATTTTATTGTAGTAATTAGTATCTGTTATTAATAAATTATATGGTTAAAAGAAACCAGACTAGGAAGACTAGGTAGCAGAAGTAACGTGTTCCGAGTTCATTCTTAATTTACTATGTGAATTCACTAATTGTGAGCACGAAACCTTTCTACGAAACGCAGATAAACACTCTCTAAGTCATCAATCTTACATTGTATAAATTTCATTCAGAAACCTAAGCTAAATTGCATTTATTTATCATGGAATTTTCAGTTTCAGTACTCATGCGTAAAAAAGGATATAGAATATCCTTTGGCATGACATTCACCACACGAGCTACAACAAATATCACAAAAAAATAAAAATTGATGACAGAATTTTATGAAATGCAATATACTTTAATTTTTTCACTCAGCGAATAACAGAGTTAACGCACAACACAGTGTTATTTTTGGACATCATCTATTTTTATGTTAAACTTCCAAATCTAAGTATTTTCAAATTATAGAACAACAACACAAAAAAGACAACTAAAATTATTGAGCAAAATAATAAAATTAGATTAAATGTAAAAATAAAGACTTGTATTTATATAACAGACATATGTATGTATATTTGTATACATAACATGTGTGTTTAAGATATACAAAACTTAATATTGAAACAAGAAACATATTATAAACTTAGAAAGTTTTCCCAAAAGAGGTGTCATTTCATTATTATTTTTTCATTTGTGGAAAATACAGTAGGAAGAAGGAAAAAATTTAAACTATAATGTATGCAATAATTGAAATGAAAAGAAAAAGCTTGTAATAAAAATTTGCATAATCAGTTTGGCTTTAATAAAATTTTTTAAATTTTATTAAAGTCAAACAAAAGAAAGACTACAAAAAAGTATTCATAGATAATAAGAGAGGTTATATGATGGCACCATATTTAGGATGTCGAGTTTGCAGTGGGAGCTTACTTGTCCATGGTATAGGGAAGCATAAATGAACTATGTTTAGAGAAATGTCGGTCTCTCTTTTTCTTTATGTTTGTCTATCTGTGTGTGCACGCGTACTCGTATATATATCTCAAGTTCGGCTAAACCGATTTTGATGAAATTTTATATATGAGTTTATGTCACGGATTGATCAACTTTTGAGGTATGTCTAACCTCCGGAACTGGATCTTTTTGCGCGCAATTTTACATTTTTGCGTACATAAAGAGAAATAATCAAACAAATTCTTTGAAATTCGATATTTAAAGCCTGAGTGTTGAAACAATGAGCCAATAAACTTTTTGGAAAGATCAGGGTTTGGAAACCGACCAAGGAGCCTTTTTTTCATTTTTTCATTTTTTTAAGTAGTAAAAAATTTATTACAGAACTTAAAATATTATATTGATGCTGTCAATAATATAATAAAAGCGTAACAAAACTTCCTCACGACTATCTTTCTTAGTGTGAAATAACTTTATATAACTTTTAACTTTATATAACTCATTTTTCTCAGGTTTTAAAAAAAGTAAAAAAAAATATCTTAAAAAATGTGCCTAGTAAAATTATGAGTATCTATAGATAAATAGAGGTTATTTTTTATTACAGATGGCTATAACTCCGCAAAAAATATATTTTGCAATCAAAACTTGTCACAAATTCCATAAGGAGAGAATTCCTATAATCGAAGCTACCTGGGGTCCACATGCTCCCGTTAAAAGATATTTTAGTGACATGCAAGGTATGACTCTTTTTTCGCTTTGTATGAAATGCAATTTTAATTTTATGTAAAAAATATTTGATTTGATATCCTTTATACACATGTATATTATTCTATTTTTAGATTTGTTTATTCCGACAATAATTACTGGAATTCCAAATACTGATTCAGGTCATTGCGCAAAAGCGTTAAAAATTATTAAAATAGCTGTGAACGAAATAGATATTATGAATAAAAAAAATAAGATTAAAATCGATTGGATTGTTCTATCAGATGACGACACTTTGTTAAGGTAGAATTTTTTGTTTCATCAAACGAAAAACGAAATTCCATATTTTTAATTCTTTAAAGCATTTCCGCAATCTGTGATATTCTGGGATGTTATAAATCTGTAAAATATGTTTATTTGGGAGAACGTTATGGTTATAGAATACATGCTAAAGATGGGTTTAATTATATTACGGGGGGCGGGGGTATTGTCTTTAATATTCCAACAGCTCGTATTATTATAGAATACTGCACTTGCCCGCAAGATTCCTCACCTGATGATATGATAATTGGAACATGCTTAAAAAATCTTGGTATAATTCCAATTCATTCTTCGAAATTTCATCAGGTATTATCAGTTCTAAAAACTATATCTTCATTTTTAAAATGTTTTATTATAAAAACAACGTAAAAAAATTTTTTTTCTTTACTTAGGCTAGACCAATTGATTACCCAACCGAAATTTTAAAAATTGAAACTCCAGTATCATTCCATAAATTCTGGCAAATTGATCCAGTCGATGTATATAACACATTTTTATATGGAAATTTGAGCCGGACACTACCTATCATATATAAATATAAACAGAAGAAAGAAAACTTATTTAAAACTCTTGATAGTAACTTTAGTAAAAACTGTGATAATATTCTAGATTGTAACAAAATTTCAATTAAAATAAACAAGCTCCAAAGTTCAAAAATCAAAGATGAAAATTTGGAACATAGAAGGAAACTACAAGCATTTTCCAAATCTACAACTCTGCTACCCAAAACAAAACTGTTTCAACATATCGATCTTTAATAAAAGAAAAATTAGAAAATTGTTTTTTTTTTGTATTTTTATTGTTAAATTAAGTTGGGTCAAACCAATGGTTTGTAATGTAGCCTTTGTCCCTTCATTGACACTCTCAAAATTCGATACAATTATTGACACCGAAATTGTTATAGCGCTTTTCAAGAATTTAAAATTATTAATCACATCAATTAATTATAGATTCTAATTATTTGACGCTTTCTTCATTATTTGTTTATTAGTTAATAACTTTTATTTAAATTGTAGCCTTCTTATTTTAAAGAATAAAAAAGGAATATTACAAAATTTATTTTATGCAAAAAAATAGTGAAAATCATTAAGAATTTCAATATGTAAATTTAGCGATGTTTTTAATATGGTTGTTGCACTTTTGGAATGAATGGACGTTTAATTTTATATATTTATATGTATAAGCAAAATAAAAAAAAATATTTAACGATTGTAAAATGGGGGTGTCAATAATTGATCAAATTTTCGATAAATTTCTATTATTGACGTGGGGTGACTTGGTTGGATAAAATAGCTTAAAACATACGAATCGGTTTTCAAATATAATTATTTTTACGGACCACATTGTGTATACAGGTAGGTCATGTGATGGCAACAAATTTTGCATATCGAGTTTTCGGTGAGAACGTGCTTTTCCATGGTAGGGAAGTGTAAATAAACTATTTTTAGCAACCTTTCGGTCTACCGGTCTGTTTGTCTGTGTGTACACGCGTGTATCTTAAGTTCGGCTGAACCGATTTTGTTGAAATATGTAAGTTTACTTCGACTATGGCACGGATTGGTCAAGATATATCAGATATATATATCAGGCCTCCGGAACTGCACTTTTTAGCGGGCCTGTTTTACATTTTTGACCATTTTAAAGAAGATATTCAACCGATTTACTTGAAATTTCATATATAAACTTCATTCGACAGTACGTGGAACTAACTTTTGGAAAAAATCAGATGTCAGCAACTGATGTTTACTACGGGCCAAATATACATTTTTCCGTATATAAAGAAAAATAATCAATTGATTTCATTGAAATTTAATATTTATATTATTCGTATTAAAACAATGAACATATAAATTTTTTGGAAGGATCAGGACCTCGGAAACTGATCTGAGAGCCGATTTTACATTTTTTGCCATATCTACGGAACGAATTGATGTAATGTCTTGAAATGTGATATTTGGGTTCTGATTGTTACCGAAACTAGCTAGAGAGCTGTTTTTGGAATTCAGGTAGCACAAAGCGAAACTATACTAAGAACCAAATTTACATTTTTCTAGGTATCTTAACTATAAGATTACTAATGTCCTAAAAATTGTAAAGAAGTACGTCAATAATTTTACATTTATACCATATCAATAGCTATATTTGGGTGTCAATAATTTTACCGTTAAGCAATGTCAGAAGTACATGGTGTCAATGATTGTACATTTTGGTATTCACGAAAACAAATTTAATTTTTAATATTATTATTCAACATTTGACAAATTTTTGGTATACGATTATGAATGAGAAATATCCAATATATATTTTACTTATGCTCAAAGTTTTATAATTCTCTATAGAATAGTTTTATGAGCAATACCGCTTAGGCCTTCTGCATTATTTTATGAACAATACCGCTTAGGCCTTCTACATTATTAAAATTACTTTTATTCATATACGGAAATATTTCAGTCTTTCAAATATTTAGTTTTTGATTTATGCAGTCTTTGAAATAAAGCAAAAATAAGAGTTAGAAGGATGCTAACATAATGCTCGATTTTAAGGATTAATTGCGTGATTTAAGAAAAATAGTTATATTTTTTAATGGCACGGAATTTACTGTTAGCTTTTTGCGTTATAGTAATTTGAAAAAGCTTGTAGAAGTTTAGTAAATATGTCAACGGAAGGACACAGTGAAACTAGTGAGGACATTTTTTTCAAAAATTTTTTGGAAAAGTGCTAAAAAACGGGTTTAGATTTTTTTTTATTCAAATGTACGCTAATAGAGTTATTAGCGTACATTAATAGAGCAGTAACTAAATAACTTCCGATTTATATTTGGTTAAAGTGATATTTGTTGATTATCCTTTCAAAATTGGCGCTTTGTTGCTTCTAATATGAAGTGTAATGTTTAAAATTCGACAAATAAATAATAAACAAGCAACAACAAAAAATTGTCTTCATTTAATAAATTCTTAGGCTCAGCTCAAAAATCTTGCATTCAAAAAACAAAACAGAAATTTCGCAACTCCAAATCTGGTTTGTAAAAAAGGGGGACGATATGTAGTGACCAAATAAAAAAAAAGAAAGAAACACGAACTGGTTGTAAAATGACTGAAGTTGAGCAGGTAAACTGTATAAGAAAAACAACTTTGCAGTATAAGTAAAACAGGTACATAAGCTACAACCTGTTGCCGAAATGAGGTGAGATAAGGCAGGATCACGGTACTTCTAAATAATTTTAATATCATTTCATTCAAATGTATGAAATATGCATTAAAAAAATTTAGCACGTTTTACTCTCAAAACTATGAGAGATAAAGGAAAATGTTATATCGCTTAAATTTTATATCTTATTGTAGTGCATCGAAAAAAAACAATAAAAAAATAAAAATTCTGATTCATCTCAAAAACTATAGTTCAAACCAAAATGGATTGTAAAACTGAAAATTAAGAGCAATCAATCGTTGGTTTTTCTATGGTTCCGTATGTGGCATGATTCCGAACTTATAAGCATTCAGTTATATACAAAAAAAATCTGATACCTTTTTTTCAACAGGCTGTATTTCATTGGTGGTAAGGACTTGAACTAATGCTAGTTCAAAAAATAAATATTGATGCCGCTTTTAATATTTATTTATATTGTACTTTACTTTTGTTAAAAAAAAATTTTAATAATTTTAATTTTTATTTAGAACATTTACAATTAATTTTTAGTTTTATTTATCGTGTTTGTAAAGCTTATTATAGTAATTTACAGCATTTTTTGTATATTGCCTCTTGATATAAAATATGTAACTTTTCCAGCAAGTAATTTATTTATAGTTATGTATTAAAAACAACAAATAACTTAGAAATTAAATTAACAAATAAAGAAATAATTTCTTCACCATGAATAGAGCAAATTTCACAAAAATAAAAAAAGTGATTTAACCTCTTATTTTAATGTATAAAAAATATTATGTATAAAATAAAAAATTTGATATATTTTTTGTAAAATATCTGTTTATTAAAATAAAATTACTTATAAACACTGTATTAGGGTAAATCCCACGTTGAAATTTTCTACATAGCACGTACTCGGGCAAATTTGAGGAAATTTTCATAAAAAGGAATTTTTTGCAACAGATATATCGTTTTGTGAATATATTGAACTCTTTAATTATGTTACGTATGCTTGCTTTTCAATTTTTATATGTTTCAACTGTCGACATAATGCTCAATCCACATTTCTGAGAAGCATTAATTATGTTGTAGACATTTGATGAAATAGTTAATTTATTTATTTATTCATGTTGAGCTTAAACACTTTACAAAAATTAAAATTAAAAAACACATGTATATATAAGTATATATACATCTTTTTTGGACTATAAGAAATAATTATTGACTTTAACATCATTATTGACTCGTCAGTGAAAAGTCAAGTCTGTGTTTGTTTCATCGACGCAGCATTCTACTGACAGGTAGGTTCATCTTTCCCATAATTAGGCCTATGAAAAGGAACCAAGAAAAGATCAGGGGAACGTGACCTAAAGTTAGAGTTGGTAACAATTTTATTTAAAATGTTGGGAGAAATTAAGTCAGTTTTCATAAGCTGAAAAATGAATAACACATCCGCGACATTACTCTTTTGCCTTGTATGGGTAAGTCAATATTAATTTAAGTCTGTATTTCATATGTATATTATTATAGTTGTGACCATACTTACAAAGCATATTCAAGATGAGGACGGACAAGGTACGAGTAGAGCGATTCCAAGACATAAGGATCATTAAACTCCTTTGACCAGCGTTTAATGAAAACCAACATTGAACTTGATTTGCATATGATATGGTTGTAGTGGTTTTTGAATGATAACTTGCTATCGAAGCAAACACCTATCCATAATCCATAATTGAATCGATTCGACTAAGAGTTTGGCCATTTAAATTATAGTTTGTTAAAAATGGCCGTCTTTCCCTAGAGCAGCACACTTGTGCACATTTATTCACATTAATTTTTAGGTTATTACTTAAACACCACTCGTAAAAGCGGTTAAAATCATCTTGAAGATTGTAGATTGCAGAAAGGGGCGATGTTGCACCGCGACCTAACAGATCTACTTCCTCGTTTCCTTCTATGTCAAGGTGTCTTTGTACCAAGCACGACGTGACTCGTTTGTCCTGACCCAACCGGTTGAATTTTCCGAGACAGTCCTTCACCTGGGAAGAATCCAGAGTCCTTATGGCAGCCTGACTGATCCAGGTTTATTTTTGCGCACCTTTCTTTAGCGTGTATTTCCGTATTCTCAAAGTTCCTCCTTGTACTTTCGAGCGAGGTTCTTTTTCCCCATGCCCCGTATGTTAAAAGCGGCACTACAATCATGGTATACATCCACCTCATGATAAAAGGGCTACATCCCCAAGACCTACTCGCGATTGAATCATTTGCAGAGCCTATTTTTTTGAAAATGTTCATGTCATCAGCATATATTAATACGTCACTGTGAGTCAACATGGAAACAACATTATTGACTGAAATTATGAACAGCAGTAGACCGAAGTGGCTACCTTAGGGGACACCAAAATTTGCCGAAAGAGGTGAAGAAATTGCTGAACGAAAGAGGACTCCTACCAGTTAGGTATGACTTTACTCAGGCTAAGTACTTGTCAGGGAATCCTAAAAGTTTCAATTTCGAAATAACTACATCATGTGGAAAAATGTCAAAGGCTTTTCTAAAGTTTGTGTAAAGTACGATCGTCTGATAGCTATTTTCCATATTATTTGAGAAAACTGT